CCTGCTGCTACAGATAAACAGCCAGAAGATGAGAAACGAATTTGAAATCCTGCAATAATAATTGACAGTGAGTGCACCAGCAGGCACGAGGCAGGCAGATAAAATGACTGCTTTATTAAAGTGTGGATATGGAGTGGATGCTGCAGGAGCAGAGGGTGTGAGAAGTCCACAAAAAATAGGTTTTCATAACTGAGGAGCCTGGAATAAATCAATACAACAGCTGTAGGTAGGTGCCTGGTGCATCTGTGCTCGGTATAGTCGACTGTAATAATTCAGAGGCCACATGATGACACTTTCATGTATATAAAAAAATCATAGTTTTATAAATGAAACCCTGACCCCCGGTCAGCGGGTGTGAATGAAACCCAGGATTACACGTTTATGGAAACCAACGGCTGGAACAACAGGTGGTTCGAGCGTCACGGAGACGCAGTAATGTCACAGACAGTGTGTGTGTCAGTCCATTACTGTCTGTTGTCACGCAGCTGTGATGAAGCCACACCGGCTGAACCATTGTTAAAAGTCCAGCTCCAGCCTCTAAGGAGACCACGGCGCCTGAAAATAGCCCTTAATCGGTGGCTTACCTGCGGGTGCATCGTCAGCGCCACGAGAAAAATCACGAGGCGGTGCAGGTGGAGGTGGAGGTGGAGGTGCGGTCGGTGTCGGTCCCTCCACATGTCTGCCCTCGGGTTGATCTTTGCGCTCCAGTTCCTGGGATCCAGGCGAGTCCTCCCGTGCGCGCCGCGGCTCTCCATCACATGCGTAAAGGGTTTGGGTAGAAAGTGCGTCGCGCGCTTTGGTGGAGATGGTGACGGCGGTGTCGATGGAAGCCCCCCTCTTTCCTCGTCCCTCCTCCCTGCTGCCCTCCTTCTCCGGTCTTAAACCTTAAAACTCCCGCAGAGACACTTCATTGCGTCGGACTGTGAGAAACCATAACGACCCCAGTCTCCGCTTTGATTTATCCCCCACCCTCCTCCCTCCTCCTGCTGCGACCCACCCACTCACACACACACTTAGACCCACACACACACACACCTGATCACCCCTTTATTGCCGCTGTGTCCGAAGCAGGATTGTCCACTGGGAATACCACATGCAAATGCACACGCGCAGCAAACACAAACACGGCGCCTCTGAGCTGGATCTCTCCCACCACCTGCGTTAAGAGGCTTTAAAGGTCCAATCTGCCGTTTCACTTGACTTGAACTCTCATCCTAATTAGCAGACACAACATCTCCTCCTTCCTATTACGTTGTTCTCCCAGCCTGCCCCGCGTACAGAAAAGAAAACTCGGCACTAGGCGTAGATGTTCACCGTATTGAGCGCGGAATGATTGGAGAGCGGTCGCCAAAGTTGCGCGTCTTCGGCGGAGTGACTTCATTCACGTTACGCACATCTCTTCATCCAAGCGGCTGGATCGTCATTTGTCAACCCGATATGAAGCCCGGCGGCGATAGAGATAGTGTGGGAGGGGGGAGGGGAGGGGGGGGAGAGGGGGGGGGGGGGGAGAGAGAGAGAAGGAGAGCACAGAGGGTGTGTCCTGAGGCAGGGAATATCCGTCTTTCAGCTCTTGTCTAGATGGTTCCCAGCGCGCAGCAGCGCTCTCATCCCATTCTCTCTCTCTCTGTCTCTCTCTCTCTCTCTTCTTCCTACTTTCTTTAAAACACCTGTAAACCAGCCTAAAGTTGTTGCCCCCCCCCCCTCCCCATTCTATACACATTTACGCATGGGATTACGCTGAATGCGTGTCGGATCTCACATCACCGTGGGTTTTCTGTTTCCTCCCCACCTTCACCTCGCCGGTTCCTCTCCTCCGGTTTCAGTGCTCCGCTGTCCCTCGGCTCACTTCAAAGCTCCGCCGCAGCATTTAAGCGGCTGCGCATTTTTCGCTGTGGCCCGAGTGGCCTCTGAACGTTTCTGTGGCAGGGCTTTGAAGCTGAGGCCATCCATCACTGCAATCATCTGTGCCAATGATGAAGCAGTGAAAGTTGTTTACTAGAGCCACCGCCGTCACCTTCTTCAAATTTGTGTCAAGAGCAGCGGAGCACTAAGCAACTTTGGGCTTGTGGTCAGTTGGTCATTCTCACCTCTGACCTCTTTCCTCAAGAGGTCAGAGGTGAGAAGCTGCATGACTTCTGACACAGCACAGCATTGCACAGAACCAAATGTGACCTCTGCTTTTGACCCATCAAGCTCAGAGCACCTCAGTCCGCTTCCTTAACCACTGAGCCACCACTGCCCCTAAAAAACTTGATTCCACTGGGGCTCGAACCCAGGACCTTCTGCGTGTAAAGACATGATAACCGCTACACTATGGAACCTTCTGGATATCCAACCCTTAATTAATCATCCTCATACTTCCCTATTTTCCTGCAGTAATAAATGGATTTGTGCCCCCACCCACACCGAGGTTGTTGAGGGACGGCATATGTTGTGCTTCACCCTAGATTTTTCTCTAAATGGGATTTTAGTTCACAAAAACCTACAACATTTCAGCTGGCTACATCCATATGGTCCACATTTTCAAAGCTGTTGTTACTCATAGATGAGGAATCCCAATGTCATTTCATGTACCTATAGCTAATGTATTTTGAATTATACATAGTGGGAACAACTGAGTTAAACCACATTTCCACTGGGTGATGATGGTTTCCCTGGGTCGTTACCTCCTCAAACTATTCCCTTCTTTGAATTACATTATAGTCCGCCTCTGTGTGTTTGGACAGCTGCTGGCCTGCCTAGCCTATATTTTACGCGTTAGCCTAGCGATGCTTCATAAAGATGACGAGAAAGAGAGCTGCATCTTGCACAGACCAGTATTGGCGCCAATCACATGGCATATTTTCCACATTTGACCTCTGGTTATTCATCATGACCCTGACACAATGTGGCTTCTTTATCATAAGAAATCTAATGAGATTCAGCCTCCGTCCTCCTCCTCCTACAGCTTAAGGTCTATCACGGTCTTGTTGTTCAAGAGCTTCCCTGACAACCGCTGGTGTTTCCGTGGCCTGGTGCTCTACAGTGACCCCGCAGCAGAACAGAGGGCTCTTGAGGACCAACGTCTCAATTTGCATAAAAGAGCAGTGACCTCAAAACATGAGCTGAATTTTAAGTTAGTGTCCAAAAACACATGGGGACATACAAGTAGTAGTTCTGCTCAGAAGGTGCTGCTACTGATGCTGTTTGGGGTTCACCTGCAGCGGGCTCTGCCTCTCCTCCCCCTGCTCTCTATATTTGTCTCAACATAAGAACGTGAAGTGTTGGATCTTTGGCACCATCTAACGGCCACACGTCTAAACAATTTGCGGCGTTATAAACGATGTGCGTTTAAAACTTGATGGAAATGAGTACGATCATCATATTTAAAATGAATTCATTTTTCAAAAATAAAACACCTATAAATAGACTTAGTTATTTTATAGGTGTTGGTTAAGTTATTATTGATCCCAACAGTATGGTGTTTTAAATCTAGATAGATAACACTTTTTCTGCCCAACATTGTTTTTTTAATTAATTTTAAATCTAGATAGATAACACTTTTTTTTCACTTTTTTTTAATTATTTTTTTTTTAAAATGTATAACTTATTATATTATAATACTATATAACTATAACTTGTTTTTATTTAATTATTTTTTATCTTTATGATACCTTCCACAACATAAACTGTTGAGTTTTCTTGTTACTTGTTCATTATAATCTATAACAATAACAGAATATATACAAATGTATACTGCATATATGTCAACGTATGTATATATACACACACATACAGTACATGTATATGTCCATAAATACATGTAAATATAGATAAAATGCATCTGATTTAACAGGTCAAACACTAATGTTTACATTTACTCTGAAGCAGCACTGACAAGAAGGCCAGTCCAGTCTGAGGCCCATACAGAAGTATGAGTGGCATGCCATTTCCTGCCACCAATACTGGCTGTGTTTGTGTACGTGAGGGCACATATGGCACACTGGCCGCTAAGGTCAGTCTTTTCTCAAGGCAAAATAAAGGAGTGTAGAAAAGCTTGGGAAAGTGCAGAAGAATGTGCATATCTGAATTCACTGTCAAGCTGACCTGAGGACAATTACGCAGGGCACAGTTTAAGTCCACAACAGGGAGGCCCACTGTGAGCCGGGCACTGTTGATAGTGCGTGGCTAAATTAAACTTTTCAGGGTCTAATTCACACATCACTCTGCCCCTCTCCCATGAATCAAGCCTTTGAGACAGAGAGCAGTGCTCCCTACTGGTATGCAATTATTGTGCAGTACAAAGTGTCAGAACTGAGGGGGATTTTCAGTGTTCTGCAAAACACACAGTAAGTATTCCCTAATTGGCTACTGGAGAGACGTTGGTTTTCATCAGTTTTGAAAGCAAATAGTACACAAATCTCATTTTTACGACTAATCTATTAATCATTTTACTTTATAAATTTAGACATTTCCGTAGGTTCACCCTCGCCTGCAACAGTGAACCGAATCTCCAGGTTGACGGTGTTGTTGGTTTGAGTTACTGGAAAAATTGATTTATATTACATTATTTCTAATGTTTTATAAAAGACAACTCATCAATTATTCAAGAAAAGCTTTTAGCTGTTTCCTTCAAGGGTTGCCACCTCCACCCGCCCACCCAACCCCATTCTTCTACTGTTACAAACATTTTCCAGATCTGTACCACGTCTAAATTTTCTGACCTCTGACCTTTTTTACCTTTTAACTTGGAGCCCAATATGTAATAAATGCATCTATACCATGATTTAAAAACAAATACAAAAAAAGAAAACAAAACGCCTCACTGAACTGGATTTTGTTTTCAACTCCAATACACAAGTGAAATATTTTAACGCTAATTTAAATTACTTGAGGACACTCAAGCTGGACAATAATCACAGGAACATAAATGAGAGAATCTCACATTTTAATTAAAAAAAAGGAAAAAGCTCCAGGTACAATGTCTGGGTGACCAGACTCTGGGTGCAATGCTCAGAAGTATATAAAAAGCACACACACAACGTGAAACAAGTATACTTACATGTAATCCTGGAGGAAGAAAAAAGAAGAAGAAGAAAAAAAAAAAAAAAACACCCTCATTACAAATTTCTAAAATTGATGGATATCAATCATCATTCAGGTCAGTAGTTCTCATGAATTTAAAAAAAAACCCAGTTGTGATTGTGAGGAAAAAGACGTTATTTCTTGGCAAATGAAATCTTCATTGCGTTCGACTGCGTGATCTTGAAGCCTTGCAGTGCATCTCGTGCAGCACCAGCTTGAACTTCATTGTCAAACTCCACAAAGGCGATGTCGTGACGGCCAGGGACCAGACGCACTTCCTTGAAGCCTGGAAACCTACAAAGATTTTTTTTTTGTAAACATACAAAAATTCAGATTGAGCTTCACACTTAATGTTGACACCAGGTATAAATTTTAGCCAATGTGTGGTTACGGACTGGTTGAAGAGCATGGAGAGCATAAGTTCGTTCGTTTCTTCCGGAAGGTTGGTGAGGAAGAGAATGTGGTTGGGTGGGTTTTCTGCAACCTTTTTTTTTAATTTAAAAAAGAAAAAGAAAAAAAGGAAAATTATAATCAGAACACAGGCAGAGTAAAGTAAGTTTTAATAAGTAAATGCAGAGAAGATGGAAAACACAGTACCTGCCCGGGCATTTGTCCCGGCATCTGTCCTGCCATCATCTGACCTGGAGCCATGGCACCAGGCATCTGACCAGCCATACCTGGAGGAGGCATCATGCCTGGAGGGGGCATGTAAGGTGGCTGACCTGGCATGTGCATCATGCGAGGAGCCTGGCTCATGGGAGGCATTCCCTGGAGAACAAAGTTCACCCACATCAAATAAGGTTAAAGACTCACTTATATTCACAGTGAATGACTACAAACAAAGTGTGCTGAGCTTATATACATTTCATATATAAATTAGGTGCTATGCTATGTCCAATTTCTTTGACACTTACAGGCATAGCAGCAGGGACACCAGCGACCATTGATCCAGGTGCCGCAGAGCCACCTTTCTTTGATGCCCCTGGTTCTGTTACTTTGGGCTTTTTCTTCTCCTTTTTGCGATCACGCTCCACATACGTACCCTTCATCTTAGCTATTATATCAGAGTCCTGCTTAGCATACTGGATGCGCTGCAAGAACATAGTAAGAATAGAGTTTAGAAACATCTGGGCTAAAAGTAAGATGAACTATGTGGTATCAGTACAAATCCACATGTCTTATGACTAAATGACACCTAAGAGCTTAAGTGTTGGTTCAAATCATTCAACATGGATAGATTCAGTTTAGTCAAAGCATCGTTTGGTCAAAGCTATAAATTGATTTTCTTAACGAACTCAGCCAAACGAACCCTTGTGGGACTGGAAAAAAAAAAAAAGGATATCCACCCTCTCTAGTAATTAAATTAATTGAGTTGAGACAGTTAAAATCAAATACCACACCCACTGTGTAAATTATGAATTAAGTCATGCGTTGATTACATTAACGTTTCATTGTTTCCATTTTTATCACGACTTACCATTGGTTTGTCATAAAAAGGGAATCCCTGCATGGATCTGAGAGCGTTGGAGGCGCTGTTGATCTCTTTAAAGATGACAAAAGCCTGACCTTTCATTTTCAGGTTATGTGCCACCAAAATGTCCAAAATCTGTCCAAATTGTGAGAAGATTGCGTACAGCGACTTCTTCAACTCTGTAGAGGATACAAAAACCGGACGTATCGCACACTGGGTTTCTGAACTGGACAACAAAAAGCTAGGGAATAGCGTTTACAAAACTCACCATCTTTCTTAATCTTTTCGTTTAAGTTGTTGATGTAGATTGTATGGTTAGGACGAACTTCTGGTGTAGTCATCTTCAAGCTTGTTTATGAATTTAGACACTGAACATTTAAAGAATGAAAATTTAAAATTTATTTTAAATTTCACACACGGGCACTGTTTCACGACTGATCATGCAGCATGTAGTCATCTTCACGCTTGTTTATGAATTTAGACACTGAACATTTAAAGAATGAAAATTTAAAATTTATTTTAAATTTCACACACGGGCACTGTTTCACGACTGAGCATGCAGCATGCTAACGTTAGCACATAAGCTAAATAACGTGGAGTGAATACTAGCCCACACGTTTTTTAAGAGAACATTTCTTACATTATTTATTACATAAATACATTGTGCGTATACTTGTGTTTGTTTCAAACAAGTTTTGAAAATGTACAGAAACGGTATGCAAGAAAAGCAGATTATACTCAACCCGAATTGTTGAATGAAAGTCCCGGCGAAGTCAAATCACGTTGGTTGTTCTCGCGTTAAATAAGCCGAATACGCAAGTTCCGGTGTTTTCTTCACCACCTTAAAAAACTTAATTATGATGAAATCAAGTATAACAGACAGTAGTTCATTTAAGTTAAGAGGTTTAGATAATTTTGACTGTATTTACATTGCGTATTATGTGTTGTTGTCCTGTAAATATATCACTCTATACTAAATTTTACAACATTTTCTCAACGTAATTGTTTTGTTTTACACTTACATTTAGTATAGCTTATTTTGATCTGATTATGTTTGCATAAAGCCTGTGTTGAAGTATTAATCCCACAATAAACCGTGACATAATGTGAGCACATACATAAATGATGACCTCTGCTGGTCATAATGCAATGCTTCTATGTTATTCTAGACGTATAACAGGCAGAGCCAATTCTTTCCAAATATAGTCAAAAGCAAAAACTGACTGTAATGTTTTATAATATACATTATAAATGCAATATACTCAGTCAGTCATTATTTGTTCGTACAGTGCATATAAAGGGCACTTAGTGTTTTCACAACAATACTAAAAACGCAACATTCGCGGGGCGTGGTGTGTGCTTCAAGGGGCTGTAACTGCTGTCTTTTAAAACTACAAGATGGCGGCGTCCTGTTAAAGTCCGGCCGTGGGTCGGAAACGAGAAAAGGACTCGTAAGAAATTATATGAATACATGATGGAAGAAGAGCTTGGTCAATAACTATAAGGGCTTTATTGTGTTAAGGAAACGGTAAAGGTAGAAGGAGTCTCATTTTTCTTTTGATCCCTTCAAACTGGACTCGAAAGAAACAGTTCTGCTAAATATACCCAGAAGGGGGGCAGCAATGTAATACCGTGGATATTATTTGTCTCAAAACGCTTACAAAGACAAAGTTCTAAAGCCTCAGTAAACAGGGATTGAACCCGGTGTAGTTGCTAATTATAGTAAACACACAAACGTATATGTCTTTCTTTGTGCTTAATATCAAATGAGAACTAATATAAACAACACTTGCCGTTACAATTAAAGCAGTATGTGTTTTCAAAGCTAGCTGTCACTTACCATGCTTTCTATTGCCGAAGGTTTAACCCGGAAGGAGCTAAGGAAATGTCAATGGAGTGCCCCCTATTACCTCCACCTCCTCCACCACCACCACCTGCACCAGGTCCTCCACCACCATGTCTTCCTACAGCCTCGTCAAAACACAGGGAAAAGAAGCTGTACCAGACTATAGCCAGCAGCAGGAGCCCTGTAGAGGGCGACAACACAGAGGCTTGTCTTCTACTTAGTCAGAGGGATAGCAGGTATGAACATCTATGAGCGTCGGTAAGGTAGAACCTGCTGTACAGTGAGGGGTTCTGGTTTTACTACTGCCATTTCTGGTCATCATATGAATCACAGTATGAATTATTAATGTCCCTTCACAACAAACCAAGCAACTGAACCTGAGCAGAGAGGTGTCATGAAAATTCTGCTATTATATTTTAAAGGTAATTCCGACATCATCCTGGGAGCATCTTAGTGGTTACAGAATGTAATCAAGGAATTGCTGGTTTAAATCCCAGAGTCCCTTAAGCTTGCAACAAAAATATAGTTTCTCCAGGGTGTAGTACCACAGCAACAGCCCAATTATTTTTGTAAATAAAGCCAGTTATGATTAAACAATGTCTTAGTAATGTGTGTTAACTTGTGCGTCAGTTTTAGGAAGGACCTGCAGTGGATCCTGGTGAACACGTACATACCTTCTCTCATCCAAGACGGTCCACAGTGAGTTAGCAAACACTGTCAGGTTACCTTTTACTAGAAGGTTACATAAGACACACAGAGGTACAACATTGATTTTGTGTTTCTGGTTTGACCTGCATGCTTTCAAGTTGACGTCATAAGACATGGCCTACACTATGCGCCAGGGTGTGACTGTGTCATTTGTTTGACTTTTAGGTGTGGTCTGGTGGCTCTGTGGATGGCTGCTCACCTCCAACAGCCAGAGCTGAATTTAGATATGGAAACTTTGGTTCAAAAAGCACTGAGCAGGGGGTACACGGCACAGGGGGAAATGTTTTCAGGTAACTGAGATGTACAGTATAAACACTTTTTGTATCCCATTTATGTTCCTAAAGAACTGTCAACGTAAAGCCTGGCTTCTTACTGAAGCATGAAAACGTCAGTCAAGATATATAAAAATGAATAGTTTAAACTCTCATTGTGAACTCTTGGAGGTGTTTTGTTTCAACAGCCAACAACATGGCCATGCTGGCAGAAGAGCTCTGTGGCTGTAAGGCTGAACTGCTGTCTGGAGGTTTGAGTGGTAACAAATCTGCTGCCATCGTCACGCACCTGTGGGGGAGACAACCTGTTCTCATCCCGTATCCTGTACATGAGCAAATCTGCCACTATCACTGGTTGTTTGTCACAAGAAAGAAATTAATTTTCATTTGTCTCTGCCATACCTACATCATTTTAACCTTTTTAGTATAAATTCAATAGATTTTTGGAGTAATTAAATCAGGCCTGGAGGAGTGTATGTTTGGTTCTTTGACTCTGTGTACAGATATGATAAGGACCGCAACCATGAGCCATGTCAGCGCAATGGCCACAAGGCTCACTGGGCTTGTGCTTCAGGTAAGAAGACTGTACCAGAAGTCAGTGTTGTGTTGGCAGCATAAATTACTATAGCATGAAAAAGTCTCTGTAATGTTACACAGATGCATGTATTATACACGTTATGTATAATTCCATACAATGTATGAGGATTACGCTGCATCTAAAACAACAAATCAACACAAGAAATATATATGTATATTTGTTAAATGAGCTTCGGCTCTGACTTTTGTGTAACTTTAATATTAATTTCCATTGTTGCTACATATTTAAATAAGTTACATGTATTCAGTTAAAGAATTTGGATTGCAGCCTAAATTATTTTTAAATGTAAATCAAGCTAATTATTATTGAGGCTAGTTGATTGTATCGTTCATCATCAGTTAAATGGTTATTCATTGTGCTATCACACATTTTAGTTATAGGGTTATATACATTTTTATACATTTTTTTTAATGAAAATCTTCAGGTTGTAAACTAGACCATTTAGTCTAACTTTAACCACTATGTCTCTGTTACTTCATCTGTGCCCAGGTGTTCTCTTGGGTCTGGATGCAGGTAGTGTGAGTGAGAAGCACCTTCAGGTGGAGCCCAGTCTTCCATGGCTCCACCTGCTGACTGATGCAGGTTTACCTTGCCCTGTCAGCAGCTCAGGACTCAGAGAGGTTCACGTTCTGGCCAAGCAGGGGTTGAGTCTGCGCTATCAGCTGTGGAGCATGGACAGCGTCGCCAAGAGCAACGAGCAGCTGAGGACGATGGACCCCGAGAGGGCTGATGATGGGACCCAGTATGTGGTCCCTGAAGGAGGTCTGGAGGAAGGACTGGCAGGACGAGTGGTGCTGCTCCACACCAGGACACAGTGACACATGACAGGCTGCTACACCATGAGGACAACAGCCACAACAACAATCAGCCAACGTTCGCTAGGAGGTGACTGGGTGATTAGTCAGCACAGAGATGCAGATGAAACGCTACTGTACACACACACACACACACACACACAGTTTAGTGTGTGTGACGCCTTGTCGGAGCAGAAGGAAAGTTTAAACTTCAGAAACCTGATGTGTCTCTCCCTTAGACGTCAACAACAACACAATAGTTAGACAGAAGCTGTAAACCCTAGTTTAGTAATAATTAAAGTTTGAATGCAGTATACTGTAGGCATATCATTGAGAGTCCAAGTTCTTGATGATCCTGTTCGCTGCTCATCTGTTGATATTTCTGTGAAAGAACATTTACAAAGGTCAAAGCAAGGTCAAGTTTTTA